CACGTAGCAGAATGGCGCTCCTTGGGAGACTATATTTGGAACCCAAGGAACTGAGAGAAGTGTCAGCAAGGAAGCTTTTGGACTTTGTAAAAAGGACAAATCTACTTGCTGAATAGGACTAGTAGTGGGACGCACAATAGGCCTAATTAGGCCGCAGTGCTATGGGACTTATTAGGACCAACCACTAGATGAAGATGAAGATGAAAACTCAAGAGAGCTCTTATCTTTCGAATTAAAACTGGGATTTCAAAAATATCAAAGTCAGTACTCGTACGCACGCCACTGTTAGAACTAAAAATTATGTTTGTATTGAAAAACATGTACCTTTATTAGCTATCACTATGTACTAAATATCACTGAAATATCTCCAGTGGTTTCGAAAATATTAATTAATTTCTTTCTTTTTCTTAAATTTTAACATCCCATATTTTCGCAACGGAACATTCGTGGACTATAATTTATAAAGCAATATATCATTAATTTTCCATGTAGAATCACACCCTGAAATATTCGCATATCATTAGGGAACTCCCTGTATAGACATTCAACTGAAAAATCATAAATAGTGGTTGTAGGGCTTTCACAGCTCATGCTGTTATTTAACATACCATGGTTTTTTGGGTTGCTATGTCCTGACCAATGCAACTGATCCTACAATTACAGGTTTAAGGAGGTGCACTATATTTTTGTAACTGGCAATGACCTTTATTTTTTTCAAAGTAATTAAAGGTTTTTTAAAAAGAGACATGGAAATATTAATTAAATCACAAATTATGTTCTAACAAAAATAGTTAATAATTATGAGTATGTATCATAAGGAAATATATTATAAACCAATAGAGCTTTAAATACAGTAGAACCCCGATTATCAGAGCTATTGTGGACCAAGCCTACCTCGGATAATCAAAAACTCGGATAATACGGACTTTATTTTCTACTGTAAAATAAAATCAGATATTTAATCAAATTACATATGTTTTATTTACGTACGCAGTAATAAAGTATGTAAGTACTAAAGTAATATGTGTGTATATACCTAACAGTATGACAAGCAAACTAAGGAGTAAAAAAAGACGAAATTTTCGTTTGACGTAATCGAGGAGCGCGATTTTTTGCAGCAATGTCTCTCCATTTTTTCATGAGAAAAATGTCTGCTGGCGTTGCTTCGTTTTGCTGCTCCACATAAGCTAAGGCAGTTTCAAATGCAGCTAAAGCTTCCGAATGAGAAACTTTCTGAAAAATGATTTCTTCATCAGAACTTGATTCTTCAATGCGTTGGCGTTCTTGAACGATTGACGCAATCTCTTCATCAGTGTAATCCAATTCCAAGTCATCTCCTCTAATCCACTCTTCGACATCATTTTCTGTTAAGGGGTCCTCACTCGGTAGTGACCTCGCCATCTCAAGCAACGGGAGCACAGGTTCCTCAACAGAGAGATCGTCTTTCGAAAAATCAACAGTTTTGCGCCATGACTTCATCAAAGTTTCAGGTTTCATTTCATGCCATGATTGGGCTATCCAAAACATCACGTCCTTAAGATTCACCTTTTTTAAATGAGTCGTTAAGTCCTCACCATTTTCTAACGCTTCCAAAAGCGATTTTAATAGGCAAAATCTGTAGTTGCACTTTAGATTTTCCAATACTCCTTGATCCATTGGTTGGATCAATGATGTAACGTTTGGCGGAAAAAAAAGCACTTTGATGTCCTCGCTACATAACTCATCTTCACTTGGATGCGATGGAGCATTGTCCAGTAGCAGTAATGCTTTTCTCGACAGTTTCATTTTTTTCAAATGTTGCTCCACTTGAGGAACAAATTCTTCATAGAACCATGCTTTGAAGAGTTTTGAATCCATCCATGCACTTCTTTGGTTTCTATAGTAAACGGGCATGGCTGTTGGTGAAAGATTTTTAAAAGCTCTAGGCTTGGCAGATTTTCCAATCATCATGAGAGGCAATTTGTGACTACCAGAAGCATTGCTGCATGCTAAAATTGTTACCCTTTCTTTGCTACGTTTGTAACCAGGAGCTGATGTTTCTTGACGTGATGCTATGGTTTTGGCTGGCAAAAGTTTGTAATTTAGGCCAGTCTCATCACAGTTATAAATTTGATCTGGGCTGTATCCATCGTTGTTTATTTTTTGTTGAATTTTTTCTTTAAATGTTATCACGGCGGAGCTGTCTGCAGATAGCTTCTCACCACAAATATTGAGCTGACGTATATCATGCCTCTTTTTCCATCTATCGAGCCAGCCTTGACTTGCTGTGAATTGTTTCGTTTCCTCCGGAAAAAGAGTGCGCAGTGATAATGCTTTCGCTTGTAGAATTGGTTCAGAGATCGGAGCTCCCTTATCACGCTGTTGTGTAAACCATAAAAATAACGCATCTCCCAATTTTTCATAGTCACTTGATTTCATGGATTTTCGTTCAATTAGCGATGATGTCCCGGTTGATGATGTTTTCTCCTTCCACTGCTCTAGTTTATTGCGGTTTCGCTTCCATCACCAACTGTGTTTTCTCCAACTCCTAATTCAGATGCTAATTTCTTCAATGATTCACCTTTACGTATTCTCTCTAGTGCCTCCAACTTTTTTTGAAGAGAAATAACGACTCTTTTGCGTTTTGGCGTCGACATTGTACGAAGTTGTCGTCGTCGTGAGTTGGGTATCAAAAATGTGCGATTTCACACGTCCGAACGCTACGCGCGCAACGACTCGACTGAAGAGAGGTGAGTGAGACGTGCGCGGGAGGCGCGGCGCGCACACATTGTTGCTAAGCAAGTTGTTTACATAGTAACAAGCAAGCTCGGTTAATCGCGACCTCGGTTAAAGCGAACTCGGATAATCGGGGTCCTACTGTAATGAACAAAAAAAAGTATTTATGTTAAAGGATATTAGCCAAAAGTATTGTTATATTGGTTTCATAACTACAAAAAGCAAAACATTTTTTAAAAAATACATAAAATACTGGCACCAAAATACTATAACACCATTGTCGCCACCTCCTCTATAACATTTGCTTCATTTTGTCACTGGAGAATGTCAAAGGATAGCAAAAGTGTTTAATGTTTTCCACAAAATACTTTCTCTAACCTAGGTGACATTTGATATGCGGCTACTTGTATGACATATATATTATACAATACTTACTACTAATCAAATTTGTCCCCCGCATTTTTTATGAATGTGTTCTTATAACATCAGTTCGTATTTTATTGTAAAAGTGAAGGTTTTTTTTCTTATAAATTTTTAGTATTACTAACGATTTTTCATTAATTATGTTATTAGTTATTACCAACGCATTTGTGATAGAACTATGATTTAATTATCCTCAAAAATTTAATTTATTTGATATAAAAATAGAATAATACTTTATATAGTTCAGAAACGTGTAATAAAATGTTCTTTGCAGTGACACAATCCAGTAAAAAAAAATGTATATCATGTTCACTTTACGTTTTTCTAATTCTGCAAATTATAAACACAAATTTCTCATTGAATTCATGTAATTTAATGCTCATCAGATAGAAATTATCACACAAAATCAAATTTGAAGAAATTATTTTGTTTTTATTATTTTTGATTATACCTAACTAAATTAAAATTGTATCGAAAATGCATTGATAAATAAAATAACTAATTACGAAAAAAGTTTTGAGAATATAAACAATTTACAAGAGAAAAAACTTGATAAAACACCTACCTTTAAAAAAACAAAATATAGGCAAGTTTGATTAGTGGTGAGGACAATTATCTTATTTTTGTTAACGCAATAATTTTTACTACAATTGGACAAAGCAATATTCTGGGTAAGATATATATGCAAATACTAGCAGCATTCCAAATCTTATTTACAATTAGATTGAACAAGGCAATTTAGAGTTATTTGAAAAAAATATATATAAGTGTATATGTATATATATATATTTTTTTTGCCAACTTTGACTCCCTTTGGTGGTTATACAAAGAAACTTTGAACAGTGATAAGTTTAGTCAAATTTTTTGACCCCAAGAATTTATAATAGTTTCTTGAACAATGAATAATGGGACACCCTGTATTATATTTATTCTGGAAAACCTAATAGCATATAATCATTTAGTATAGATAGATTATCTATAAAAGATCTATATAAAAAGCTACCATAAATTCCCGATATCAAAATATGACTGCTTAAATAAGATTATCTATATCTTGCAGTGCTTTATTAATGTAAATATCAAAAGATCTCGAAAAAGTTAGTTATTTTACATAAAATTAAACAAAAAAAATTATTATTAGGATTAAATTTTGAACGTAAATATGCACTGAAAAATTTTTTTATCTGATTTTTTTTCCAAAGTAGTAAGTAGGTAAATATCTTTTAAAGGTGTCGTCAATATTTGGAACATTTTTATTTTAGATATTTTTATCTGGTATTTGACATCTATATTTGATAGTTTGAAGGAAAAAATATTCTGAATTATTTAAATATGAATTTTGGTAGAAATATTTATTTAATATGTGACACTGATGAAAATTAATGTGTCATGTTTTGATTATAAAGCGGTGACAAAACTGGATGATTCTTGGCCCATGCACATAGTCTTGATGTTAGGTTACATGTTTATTATAGAAATTTACATTACTCTCTGTAAAACAATATTTGTGGATAAATAAATTATATCTATTAAATTTCACATTTCCTGTTGAGTCACTAAAAGATTTTTGTTTTATTTAAAATAAGTACTTAGTTAAACTTTTTCCAATTATTTGGATATTTTATTTAAATAATCCTATTTTGCTATTGGGAACTAGTACCAGCATTTCGTATAAACTTTTTAGATACCCTGTATATTAGGAAATGAATCTCTTTCATGTTGTCATTGTTGAATAGTAGTAATATTAATGAATAAATTTTCATTGCATCTATTATCAATGTATTAACAAATAAAAAAAGTTACACTTGTATAATTTTCATGATGCCAAGGAAATCGTTTAATATTCAACTAATAATACTTACATAATAAACCTCCTATAAGGGCATGCAATAACACCAAAATGGGAATAAAGTACATTGCTGCATATATTGACATCTTACTCTGACGAGGAAGGTACTTTCGACACACCCATGGTCTTATTAAAAGCATTAAAACAAGCGACAAACCATAAAACAAAAAAACTATTGTATACCTACAACAAAAAATTGTTTATAAATTTTTCGTAAAATTATTGTACTTTATGGGAAGTTTCTGTCTTAAATTTTGATTATACATATATCTTGAAAACAGAGATGGACATGGCTAGTAAAATAATTTCGCTTACACCTGATATATTTATTCAAATCAATATTATTGAAGAAAATAGAAAAAAAATGGCTATAACTCGTAAATAAGTAAAACATATAAAACTTACAATGGGTAAACAGCTTCTTGAGTACAATGAATTTTCTTTTCATAATTTGGAGTAGGATTGTGCAGTAACGTATACCAATCTGAAATCGTTCTTACTTGGCAACTCTGAATAGTTAAGTAGCCCATAGGATGTGAAAGCAGTAATGAAAGGATACATGATAGGACCACCTCAATAAATGCTGTAGCGTGGAGAATAATGATATCTTTGCTAAAACTAAACATCAGTTTATAACTTACTTTACAAACCTATTACTTAAAACATACATACCTTCTTCTCATGGACACCATATCAATAAAAAAACAATGCAAAATTAGTACCAAAAGTACCATGAAACCTAAATAGAGCCAGTCATAAAACGTTGGACTGTCCATACAAGGTTCACAAATAAAAGTGGTTTCATTTCTTCTAAATCCTCTTGGACAAGGTCCACAGTCACTAATTTCGCCATCTGGTAATAAAAACCTACCACAATACCAACCAGGACAAGACATTTTAAATGTAAACGTTTTCCAGTAAAAATTAGGTTATGTATATACGTCAAACAACTGACAGCTTATTACTTTTTTATAAAAAGATGGACGTCCTTTAGTAACACACGGGTTTTTGATTGGATTGGCTCTATGCTATCGGCTTTGTGATTGGTTGATATGGAACGGTTGACAATAATTTAACAATTGAGATATTAAAATACTTTTTAAAGTTTACAATTCGTTAATTTATTTGAATAAAAATAAATGTTATAATTAATGTTAAATTATTAAATTCCTAGAAATATTAGACCTCTTTTCTTTATAAAATTTAGTTTCGTTATTGACTACTACGTACCTCCCATCTATTTTCAGCCCTAGGTACTTACGGCATCGGATCGGTTTGGGTGCAAAAATTACGATTAAAAAGAGTTGTTTTTTCGTGATTACAGAACGTCTGCAGTTGATTTTTTAAGTAGATTAAAAGATTAATAACTATAAAAAATGTGTAATCGGGAAATCAGTGTCTAAAAATCAATCAAACTACAGGATTTTGTGTCTAAGTAACCAGCTGATGGCGGGTGAAAATACTGGACTCGTTTGGAAGTTTAGTGATCCCAAATTGTGTACAGCGATTAATATAAGTGTATAAGTGATTTTTATTGAGGATTAGTCAATTAGAACAGTGATTATTGATATCAAATTGTATTCTACATTACATTTTCGTATATTTTAAAGCAGTTGAACGTTGGGCGTGCACTGAACTAAGCACACACCTTGTGGCTGTCATTGATATTTGCAATCATTCATAAATTTCGGACTGTAAATATAAATGATGCGTTTAAAAAATCGTGAAATTTGACAACAAATTCTAAGTGGTGAAATGCGGAGTGACCCTCTTACGACTTCCTTGTAAATAGTGTTTGCTTGTTATTATTGAAAACTTCTTGGGCACCACGATGTCGACGACGGCGTTCGTCGATAGAATCGATCCTTTTGCAAAGCGGTCGCTCAAGAAGAAGACCAAAAAGTCGCAGGGCAGTTCTCGATATCGTAATTCCCAGGACGTGGAGCTGCAACCATTGCCTCTTCTGAAAGGTAAGATTCAATTTTGGCTGTCATGCTCCGTCCCGACCTAGTGTAAACCTCCGTTTGTGTTTCTCTGCGTTGGTAACCGCTTGAAGTAGGTATCTCGAATTGCCATATAAGTATCTACTCGTTCACACTTCCCTACTTATAGAAAACTTAGCAATGCCCCTTTTAATTATGTAATATTAAAAATGTATAAGTTTACATGTAATATAGTTGCCAAAGTGGTTTTTAAAATACACCACTACTAGGTATAGTGTATTCATACTATTCAGAAGCATTACAAGGTCGATATTGTCAACATTTTTAAATGTAAATAAATACATAAGTAAACACCCTGACTAGTAAAGAGATAACTAGGCATAAACTACTTTAGATCATTATTAATAGCTGTAATTTATATAAGATATCCGTACCTGTAGTTTGATACGAGTTATAGAAAGATATATTTATTTTCATTAGTAACCGATTAACCTGGAAAATTACAGATGCTTTCACAGATGCATACTTTATACCAACCTGGATTATGTATCAGCTTAGTTCGAGGGAGAAACCGCTGGCCAAATTGTGTGCACAAAAATACTCATTACTAATTAATTATTCCATTATTACTCTGAAATAATAGAAAAGAAAGAGGGGGGGGGGGGATTTAGCTAGGTACATAGAAAACGAGATAGAAAACAAAAGGATTACACATTTTACAAAAATTAAATCAGTTTATTGTATAAACCATACACAACAATTTTGTAAATTTATGTTTAGAATTTGCTGCCAACACTTAAATTTGTGACAACTTCTGCGCCAATGAGGATATATTTTCGAGATAATTGGTCTTGAATGAATAATACCTACGTAAGAACAAATCCTAATAAGTTCCTACCATCCAAGAATACTTTCATGAAGTATACTCCTTTCCATCGTTCGTACTATTTAGATTTTTCTATTAAAATTACGTAAAAATGTGGCAGCTTATAATAAAAGCAAGTACTGGTCAAAAATACACATTTTTATAATGAATTGGTGAAGTATTTCCAAGAAATAATAAAAAAGAGGAAGGTGGGTGGAGGGGCTTCAGATACATGCGCGCGTCATATCATACGTGTGTGTACGTGAAATTTAAATATTACTGACTTATTGCTCAAATGATATACTTATTATTACTTAAATAGTATTCAGGCTTGTACCCCAAATTGCCTACGCCTAAGCCCATGTAAAATTTCCGAATATCTTAAAAAAATTTAGTAGGTAGTGACTTTATTTTATAATGTTTTTTATTGTAACTGCAACCCCTGTATTTCGAAAAAGAATGCCTAAATGCATAATGATAAAAAGTTTTATTATTTGTGATTAACGGTTTAAGCTACTTCTTTGTATAATCCTGTTTACATTAAATTGACGATTAGAATATGCAGTGATATTTAAAGTGTACAATTATACAGGGTCGGAAAGTCTCCATGGTTCATCAGCCGTTACGTGAGAGCGATAAATTAAGTCATAGAAATCCGTGCAATAGAGAAAGATGGCTATAATGAAGGCGTCTAATAGTCACCGCCTATTTCGCCCTTCCACAAATAAGAAGTGGATCTTATTTGTGGAAGGGCGAAATGGGCGGTGACTATTAGACGCTTTTATTATAGCCATCTTTCTCTATCGCACGGATTTCTATGACTTACTTTATCGCTCTCACGTAACGGCCGATGAACCATGGGGACTTTCCGACCCTGTAGATATCATGATTAACTATAGTAGATTGTTATTATATTTTGTGTTTACTTGTAGTTAAATCGTCTTCTGTACCTAAATATTAGCAGATTATTTTAGCGTTATTCACAGGATTCGGTAGGACTATAATTATTGATAACCATAGAACATAACGAGGAGCATACATAAACTGTAAAACACTCGACGTAAATTTAAAGTAGATTGAAATGATAAGTGTTTATTTTGGGACATCCTCTATAAAATGCCCTAAAAGCCCACCGTGAAAGTTATCAGTTATTTAAAACAGACAAAATAATTTAATTCGGCGGGTTGCATTAAAAAAAAGGCGATAGGAATTAAAAAACTGATAAAACATAATACTTATACAAAGAAAAATAATATAGAAAATAATTATTGACATACATATAATGTTAGGTTTACACGCTTGTCAAGTCTAGGCAAGCGTCCATAAGCACAAGCGTGTGAACGGCGGTGTTTGACTAGGCTTGCGCGAGCTTGGAGAAGCTTGTCGCCGTTTCGTTCGAGTGTTGATCAAAGGGCACTTGCGACAAGCGCTTGCGACGCCTTCACAATTCACACATTGATATTGGCGATTGGCAGATGCCTGAAGTCGTCTTTCCGAATCAATGCAAAAGCCAGTAAAAGAATAAAAAGCCAAAGAAGAAACATTAATGACGACTTTTATCATATTTTTCTTCGTTGGGCTTTTGTTTTTGTTTTATTTTACTTGTATTTCAAATAAAAGTATGATAAACCAAACGCAATAGCCGAAACAAGTTCGGTGTCCACCATGCTTGTTTGTCCGGAGCACACTGATGCATTCACAAGCATGTAAATGACTTCCAAATGCGAGTCTCATTTGTTTTAGTCTTGGGGACTGTGGATGCTTGCAGAGACTTGGCAAGCGTGTAAACCTACCATAAAGTAAAATACATCTACTGAGGTTTTTAGAAACTCGTAAAAAAATTAAGCACTTAACTAATTTTATTTTTAAATAGTGTTGTAGTCTGATTTTTTCAAATATTTCATTTGGTAACGTGTTATAGAAACATGTTTCTATAAAATGTTGATAACTTTTCGCGTCTACATCTAGCTTATAGAAATATGAAATAACTTGTTGCTTTTCATCGAAATTTCGAAGACGTATCGATTTGTTTGTTCAGAACATTATTTTGTAACAGATGATGATGCTGGATGGACCTTAATTTTCATGAAAATAGGAGTTCTACGTTGTTCTCAATTAGGACTTATACTATTTTGTTGTAAACCGTTCATTTTTAACACCATTAGCGGATATATTGAATATAATTGATTTTGAGAGTTTTTACAAACTTCGAAAAGGGATTTCTGGCGAAAATGTCAAAAGTTCTCTTATCGAATTTAAGTAATTTCTAAAATGAATTTTTTGAAAATCTCGGAAAATCTCTAAAAGTGGGGCTCTGGGCTCTGGTGAAAATAGCAGTAGTTCTGCATTGTGCTGGAATTGTTCTACTATTTTATGCAATATAGGTAATATTTTATGCGCTGTAGCTGCTCTAATTGGTGTGATATTTATATTTAGTTTCATTAATTAAGCAGCTTTTAGGAGTTAAAAACAAACGAAATTCTGATGAAAATATTGCAGTTTAGCGTTCGTATAGTTTTATTATTTCATACAAATCGCCTTGTTCGAGCTATGTGCAGATATGTTGAATTTAATTAGTTTAAGAAGATCGCAAGAGCTTAGAAAAAATGCGTTCTTCTGAAAATAGTAGTAGTTTTACTGTGTTCTGTAATTATATTATTCTATGCAAACCGCGTCGCTGTAATTGCTCTACTTGCCGAGACATTGATTTTAATTAATTTAAGGAGTTTTTAGATATTTTGAAAAGGGGAGTTCTAATAAAAATAGTAGCAGATCTGCATTATGTTTGAATAGTTCTACTATTTCATGCAAATTGTGTCGCTTTATTCACCAAAACATCCCATTTAGAAATTCAGGTAAACTCCTAAAATTAAATTCGGTATCTCCGCAACTTTAACATCTAGAGCATGGGTCGGCAAGTAATTTTAGGTGCGGTCCGAATACTTTTGAAAATTTTTAACGAGGTCCAGGAAAAATTCATATTTCTTATTTTTTTTATTTTGATTTGGACTCAAATTTAATCTGCTTACTAATTAAGAACTCAAAACACTCACACAATTGTAAAATACTAGAAAAAATGATAAGATTGGCACTTAAACGTAAATTACACTTTTAAAATAATTTATT